CCATAAGAAGAAAACAAATCCTACCATTTGCAACAACATGGATGGAGCTAGAGGGTATAAATAAGCCAGGCGGAGAAAGACAAACACCAAATGATTTCACTCATATGTGGAGTATAGGAACAAAGAAAGACTGAAGGAACAAAACAGCAGCAGAATCACAGAACCTAAGAATGGACTAACAGTTACCAAAGGGAAAGGGACTGGGGAGGATGGGAGGGAAGGAAGGGATAAGGCGGGGGGTAAGAAAAGGGGTATTACAATTAGCATGTGTAATGGGGGGAGGGAGGGCTGTGCAACACAGAGAAGACAAATAGTGATTCTACAACATCTTACTACAGTGATGGACAGTACCGTAATGGGGTTTGTGGGGGGGACTTGGTGAAGGGGGGACCCTAGAAAACATAATGCTCTTCATGTAATTGTAGATTAATGACAACAAAATAAAAATAAAAAATAAACTTACAACTTTCAGTTGTTTTAAAGATAAAAAAAATAAAAATAAATAAATAAAACTTATTTTATCAGCAAAATGGGTTTATTAGGGAATAGCAGAAAATTGCAATTTGGGACATGCAGGCAAAATCAAAGTTAAGTCTGGAGAACAAAGGAAAATGTTCTCTTATAGAAAAAAAAGGCAGGATTTGAGAGGGCTATTATTAAAAGGTCCACTGAAGGAAACCGGGAGTTCAAAGTGTAGTGGTTTTCATTGGCTGGCCTGTTGACAAGGGAGGAGAAAAACCTCTCTTTGTCCTGCTAGGGTAGTAAAGTTTAGGCTTTTTCCTGTTGGGAATGCGAGGTATGCCTGTTCCTTAGATCTACAAAGGGCTAGAAGGAGGTGGTGAGGCATGAGATCCCCCTTCTGGCTCCCTGACTCCATTTTAGTGAGGTTTCCCGGTACTCATTTTCACACTCTGGAACAGTCCATGAACTAGAATAAAGCTCTGTAGGTACTTACCGGGAACATGAGAGTGGGGTGTGCCCAGAGGTCTGACAGATAAGATACTGACAGATAAGGTACTTGCAGATCTCACACGATACCCAGTCTGGCACTCTCGGGATCGACAGTGCTGAGAACCTGCATTTCTGCAGTCTGCAGTTTCCCACCACATGGATTCAGGGACCTATGTTCCTGCCCTGACTTCTCAGCATTGGAAGGAGATTTGTTGAAGCCAACATTCCGTAAAAATGCTTTGGGCGATCACTTTGCGCTCCCAACCCTCTGAGGTCCCACCTCTTGATCTATTAAATTCTGCTGGTCCCAATGCTGAATTTACGTCTCGCTCTCCATCTTCCTCTCCAAGATAACCTCTCCAGCTCTCCAGTGCATGGACCACCACCCTCCTGTGAGAAACCCAGGTTTGTCTCCTGATGTGATGCCATATCTGGAGCAGACCTAGAATTGAGCTGAGCCTGTGGAGCCTCCTTCTGTTCAGGCAATTTCCCCTTTTTAAGTTTCAGGACCAAATATCAGTGAGATTGAAGACTGACAAGATAATGAAAATGTGCCTCTAACAATGACTTAATATTAGCTGCAGGATCTGGGCTATTTCTCTCAGAACCTGGTTGCATAGCCCCTTCCTTATTAGTAGTAGCAGCAATGATCCGGGTTCCTAATACTGATCCAGATTTTGGGTCAAGTCAGCAGTTCTTGCTGGCATTAGGAAATGCAGTTGACCGTTGAACAATGCAGGAGCGCAGGTCTCTGTGCCATCAAAAACCCGTATAACTTTTGACTCTCTCAACACTTAACTACTAATAGCCTGTTGATTAGAAGCCTTCCTGACGACACAAACAGCTGATTAACACATACTTTGTATGTGATTTGTATTATATACTGTATTCTTACAAGAAAGGAAGCTAGAGGAAAGAAAGGTTTTTTCAAGTTGTTGCATACAGATCTCCAAAAAGTTTTTCCAATAAGTTTATCGAAAGCGGTGAATGTATGTGCGGATCCAAGCAGCTCAAACCCATTGTTCGAGGGTCAGCCATAGTTGAGCTCTCCCCAACTCCCTCTCCCAGAACGATTTGACCTGTTTTTCTGCCTGGGCCTCAGACTTTCTCTCGGTCTTATTTCTGCCTCTGGGCTGTTCCCTCGTCACCCTGACAGGTTGACCTGGTTCTTTTTTATTCAGATTCTTCCTGCTGACATCGTAGGCTCCAACTGTCTTGAATTCATCATTTTGCAGCTCAAGTGGCTTGAGTTATTAATACCAAATGACCTACCGTGTGTGCCACTACCCTTGCTAATGACCTGGAAACCCCTTGCCCGCTTCATCTGAACGGCCGCGTGCCCCCATGTCACTGTGTCCGCATGCCCTGTGTGCGGTCACACCCTTACTGGTGAGGTTTCTTTCCAAACAAACCCAACTTTCACAAATTTCATGGCCTTGATATCATGCCTCTGAATATTTTGATAGCATAGTAAATTCTGAATAAAAAATCTTCCCACGTTTTTCTCTCAAATGGGGCCTCCAATCCAAAGCCCCAATTATAAGGTACCCTGCTTTAGCAGATACAGCGACGACTTGTTTTTCTTCTCTTACCTCCATCAGGCGGCAATGGTAGTCACTAACCTGTGCAGGGCCGCAGGGCCATCTGTGAACAAGGCTTTCCAGCAAGCGCTTTGTACTTAGCCCTGTAGGTGAATCTCAGCACATTGTTGAATTATCATCTCTAGTATGTGGTTGAGGAACCTGACGCTGAGACCATGTGATGCTTTGTTCTTGCTTTTCTTCCCAGAGAAACCTGCCCATTTTGAACACTTTTCCTCAAGTCCCCAAGCTGTTGGTTCCTGTTTTGGGAAATAATCCCTGTAACGTGGGTCTCTGTTGGGAATGTTGAGGCAGGATACACGTCAGGGAAAATGAAAGATCTTTGCCTGATCCCCTTTTTTCAGGCACAATCATCAGTTACACAGATGTCTACATTTTCTCTTCTCCCAGAAAGAGCAGTGTGCCCCACAAGCAGATGGGCCCATTTCTGGTTCTTTCTTAAAGGGTGTAGTGTAGGAGGCAGGAAGGCAGAAGGAAAGAAGCAAGTGCTATGGGAAGAGAACGGAGAAGGGCCAGTTGCTGCATGAGAAGATAGGGAATTTCTGACACCTAGCAAAGGCCAACAGTGTGCACACAGGGCTGGCACCAAATGAGAAGCGGTGTGAGAACAGCAGGACTGACTCCGGTGCAGGGCAGTGGGCCTTGGCGTGTGGCCTCCTTCCCAGGGGCGTCTCTGGGAGGCCACACAGGGAGGGAGGGAGGTGAGGCACCCTAGGGCCAGGATGCAGTGGCATGAGGGCAGGGAGCCCATTTGTTCACTGGACAGCCAAATGCCACGGCCATGGTTTGACCCCACAGAATGACATCTTCATTTGGGTGGACTGTCCCACGGGGTGGCCCCACCAAACTGCTAATCCCAAGGCTGACATTCACCGCTTCCACCTAAGTGTTCCCTGGGACCTGGTATGGATTTGCTCACCCCCGGGAAACGGGATCAAGGGCAGCCCGCTGGTTCAGAGCTGGCTTGCCACCTCCTCCGCAGGGAAGACAGGGTTCTTCGGGGGGGGAAAGCCATCGCCCTGCCTCCCCAAGGGAGGTAATACTGCTAACATGGGAGTGAATACTGAACAAGTGTCACCTGCCTCTGTGATCTTCATATTCTGCTGAAAGGAATGTTAATGTTTTTACTGGCCATAACCAGTTGAATTCAAGGGGCTGGATCCAGGGGGATGACAGGCACGGCTTGGCGAGGCCTCAGTGGTAGGGTGAATGTCCCTCCGACACTGGGGGCCTGACATGCGCACAGAGAAGCCCTATCCTGGGAGGGCTGAAGGCCAGGGACAGAGGCTTTGGACCCACTGGATCAGTCGGAAAGAAGTGCCAAGGGAAAAAGGCAGAGTCAGCAGCTGGGCCTGATGAACTTCTCTTCCAGTGGCAACACCACTGTCCCCCTCACCGTTCCAGGCTCTGGGGGCGCACCTCGTGTGCACTGACTGGCTGAACAGCACAGAAGTGATCAGGTAACAGGTACACCGGAGACCAGAACCAAATGCAGCGAGTGATAAACGGTGTCGTGAGCTCCTGGGGCCACCCCGCGCCCAGCCTAGAGTGTCCGCACATTCCTTCTCACTTAATCAGCAACTGCAGATTCCTAGGTTTAAACTAGAGGAACAGCTCAACGTATCACAGACAACACCAGCTGGCTGACAACGAAGTCCCCTTTAATTCTGAACATTTCTTTACAACCATGCACACCCGGACAACTCCCAAATCTACCTCCAAAGCCAGAATTTCCCTTTAGAAATCCAGATTCCTATTTCTAACTCTACGGAATGCATCTCCTCAAAGAGTCAATCAACTCCCAAGTTAACATCCCATCCTGTAAAACACATTCCCTTTTCCTGCTCACATTGAGTAGATGTGGGAAATGGGCTCCTGTGTCCCTTAGACATGCACTTATGTCTGGGCTTGTGTCCAAGGGCCCAGAACAAAGCCTATAATACATGCATGCAGCTAGTCAGGCATGCTACAGGGGCACAGAATGGGCTCTGGATCATAGAAGGTCCTGTCACCGCAGTGAGGACAGGGGCTGGCACTGAACCAGACGATACTGGGCAACCCCAACTCCTCCAGCAACTGCCTCAGCCTGGCATGCAGCTGGGCAAGTACGCCCAAGTGGAGGGTGCCGCGAACATCCTCATAGCTCTCCAGGGGGGCAGGATACAGCATACGGCTCAGCTTGCTCAGCCCGATGGTATGGTGCAACAGGTCTTCCAGGGAGGCCATGGAGAGGCGGTTGCCACAGAGGCTGAAGGTCACAAGCTGGGAGCAGCAGCTCAGGGCAGGCAGCATGGCGGTGAACTGGGCATCCACGATTCCACACTCTTCCAAGTCCAGGTCCTGGAGGGTGTCAGAGGCTCTCTCTAGCAGAACCCGGAGGGGCTCCGAACTTACATTGGTAAGGCTGACCCCGCTGAGACTCAGGGCCTTCAGCTTAGTGACGTTCAGACCCTGGGCCAGATGCATCAGGTCTGATTCCGAAAGCAAGCAGTTGGTAAATGACAGGGAGTCCAAAGGGGTCTTGAGGCACCTGGGAAGAGAGAGAGCAGTCAGTTCCGGGGGATGGAGGTGATGGGCGGGTGGACATGGGGATGACCAAGCCCTTAAAGGAAGAGAGAGCCATTTCACCACAACCCAAAGCATCACAGATGACAGGCGGCCCCCAGGATCCCGTCTGAGTGGACGCCTTTCTCCACCACTTATTTGCTGGGTGGCAGCGTCAAGACACCAACACCTCCACCACCTCCTCCACTTAGCTGTCAAGCAGGGCACAACGTACTCCTCAGAGGTATGAGCACGAATCAGGTAGCAAGGGGACAAAGTGGTACAAACTTCACATTATAAGACAGTCACAGGGATGAAAACACAACATAGGGAAAATAGCCTATAACATTTTAATTTCTTTGTTTGACAGATATTAACTACACTTACTGTGGTGAGCATTTAGTCATATCGGGTCACATACTGTATACCTGAAACCAATATAATACATTTCAATTTTAAAAAATTAAAAAAAAACAACAATAGGCATTCAGAAGGGGCACCTAATCCGGTGTCTCAAGCAAGAAAGGGAATCGGTGAATCTGAGGACTGGGAGACATGACCGGAAATGCTTTCAACTAGGACTTCCTTCCAGCCGCTGCTCGGACGCCCCTTATCTCTGCTCCTGGTGAGGCCGCCAGGAGATGTGCACGAAGGGCTCGCCCGGGCACGGCCTGCTGGCATGTGGTCGGGGGCGCCAGCCTGCAGGGACCAACTCGGTCCGCTCTGTCACCCACAAAACCGGCCTCTGCTTTCATAGTCCTTCCCTCCTGCTCGCTCATCACCTCCCAGAGCAGGAATTTCCGCCTTACCACCCAACTCGGTGCCTGGAGTGGAGCCAGAGAGAGGAAATGGAGGCAGGTTTGCAAGTAGAGGTTCATGCTGGCAAGGCTGCTGAGTGCAGAGCTTATGATGTGAGACCTCACAAACTTTCCCTTTCCCCATGGCCTCCTCGGTTATTTCCAATCGTCTTAACTTAGACATTACTTTTTCAGGAGGAATTCCCAAAGCCACCCTCATGTGGCCCGAAGGCCCCATTACACAATACCTGGCAAAGTCCCTTTTACCAGCACCTGTCCTAGATTGTATCTGGAGATTATATGACAACATGCACAGGACAGCTGTGACAACATGTGGCACTTCTCGTGACTGGTGCACACAGGCCCTGTCGACGGCTGGCACACAGCAGATGCCCATTATTGTTCATTGAAGGGGGAAGGGCCCACTCTCCCGGGCGCAGAGAAAGCGTACCGTCTCTCACCTGAGCACTTGGACCAGGCGGTCTTTGAGGAAGGAGACAGAGTCCACATAGAACCCCCTGAGGTGGTGCAGATTGAGGAGCTGAGAGCTGAACAGGCTGACGCACCGCTCCTCCACGGCCTGGGAGGTGCGGGGGGACGAGTGGATGTGGTAGACAAACAGCCTGCGCAAGCCGCCCATCTTGCCCAGCTGAGGAGCAAACTTCCCCAGGGTGGTCAGCCTCCAGGTGCTGTTCACCTCGAACTCCTGGATGGAGTCGAGCTGCACCAATCTCAGGATTTTCTGAACATTCTGTATTGGCATCCCAAAAATCTTCAGCTTCCTGCAGCACAGGTTTAGCAAGCCTCTGCTCCCCCGGACTTTCTTAATGAGGTAGGTGAGGGCCTCATCAGGGCTGCTGTCCTTGAGCCAAAGGTCTACAAACACCTGCACAGGATCCAAGGGCTGCTCTGGCCCGGGCCCTGAGCCCTCCACTCTCGGCCTCTTTATCAGGGGTGGGTCCACGTCTGACTCAAAAAGGGAGTAAATATTGGCTTTGAATCCAGACCACACAACCCAGAAATCCTGACTGGCATTCTTCTGCAAATCCAGCACTTGCAGTTTCCCTCTCCTGCAGGAAAACAGGAGACAAGACTGAGATGCTGAGTCTGACACCACAAACCCAGGCAAGGACGAGACACCTGACTGGCACTTTTACTCCACACCCCAGACATCAACTGCTCCTTCTCCTTGTCTACTGGGATCCTTCCAGTCCCCACTCCTAGCGCCTTTAAGTGCCACCAGGAGGGGATGGGCACATATTCCCTCGGTCACCTCTGCGTCTTAATCAGCCCTACATGTCCGGAAGCCTGTTCCCAGACTGACCCCAATGGCCCTGGGGCCTCCCTGAACTTCCTCACTGGCACCACAAGCAGCCTCTGCACCGCTCCCCACCCCAGCCCCATCCTGACCCCAGGTGTACCTTGCTAGGACCCCCCCAGGTCCCTCCCACCCCCAGGCTGGGGATCACCCTCACCTGGTGCAAACCTCCTGGGCAAGCAGGTCATCAAGTCCATCGAGTACCGCTTTGAAGGTTTCCTGATGCGACAGCTGTTCCCTCATCAGGGCCCCCAGAGGGAGGCAGGGGAAGGGCCAGGCCTGCACCATCGCCCTCAGGACATTGCTATGTCTCCCGAGGAAGGCTGCCGTGAACAGCGGTGGGAAGAGCTCCCTGGGCAGCTCCTCCAAAGCGGCGATGGCCAAGGCCTCGTTCCTCAGCAGGCTCTGAACCGCCAGTTCCAGGAGTCTGGCTGGGACCAGAATGCTCATCCTGGTGAATCTACTCTGAAAAGAATCCTGGGGAAACAGCCAGGGAGCAAGGCAGCCTTGTGAGGCCAAGCGTGAGCAACCCCAGATCCCTCCACCCGTCAGAGGAACCGACCTCAGGCCGACGTCCCTGCTCAGGCAATAACTGGACAGTCCTGTTCACCCAATTCCAGGGTCTGCTTGGTGGACACAAAGCTGTACCTCTCCCTTTGCCACCACCACGAGGAGCATCTCACCAGGCCTCACTGAGGGAGCCAGTGGCCACTAGCCACATCCGAGAGCCACCCATTAATTCCAGCCCCACTGCAAAGTGAGTACCAAGGAGCCAGAGAACTAACCCCACACTTTTTGGGGAAAGTTCCAGATTGTCACTCAAGAACTGAAAATATGGGGGGAGTAAGGGGTGTCACGTCGCCCGGCACGGCCTCCTCCTCGGCTCCAACAGACAGCCCAGATGGAAAAGATGAAGGGGCTCCCACGCGATGAGCACTATTACGTTATTTTACCTAAAAACTAACAGTACTACACAGCATCTGCAAGTTGGGATGAAAAAACCCCCCACTAATTCCAAGATGAACATTTTATTATGCATCTCTTCGAATGAGTATCAGAATTACCACTTTGTTCAGGGGAAAAGAAACACATTCAGAACAAAGCCTCTACTCTTAAAAATAGTCTGTAGCAGTATTATTCTATGTAGTATTTTTTAAGCTTTTAGTTAGTTCCTTTTTACTTTTTTTAAAAAGCACTTAATAGTAAAATCACAAAACTCTAAGTGGTATGAACTGTAATTACTGGTCACAAAGCAAATATTGAAAACATCAAAAAGTTCCAACAGATGTCTTTCAAAAATTTCAACAAAAACCTGTTTGGGTAAGAACTATTACAAACATCTCGGAGGCGGCATACACTACAGCAGAAATCCCAATGTTTGGGATGAAGGCGAAACTGCATTGAGGCCAAAGCCAAGCCTGCTCTTTGGAAAGAAGGAAACTCCATGCGGTCTTGGCTGGAGAGCCGGTGGGGACCACGCCCGAAGGCAGTGTGCTGGCAGGGCCCACGTGGCTCCTGGGTCCCCAGGGCACAGGGACCCACCTGCTCAGACCTGATGGGCAGTGACTGTCCCACGTCAGGCCTCGGGCTCCCTTCTCTGGTCCTCGGCAGCCATTACAGGCCTTCCTGGCCACACCGCCCTTTTCAGACGGGGCTGAAATTTCAATTCCCAATGGGAAGTGACATCTTCCTGGATCCCCACCCAGCTAATCCTGATTGGGTACTAACATTCTCCATACCACCTACTGACTCCTATGTCTGTTTACAAAAGGAAATGAAAAAGAAAACACCTGGATGTGCACTTGTTGGGGGACTTCGGGCCACATCAGAATTGCCCCAATGTTCAAGTGAAGGCAGCTTTATGCAGTCTTGTCAACCCAAAAGAAAAATACATAAAATGAAATTTATGTTAGAGTTATACTTTGTTACCTAAAACCACAAATCGCATGCCCACTCACAGGAACAGAGGTATGACTGAGGGGCTGTGGTCTTCCAGATTTTGAGGGTCAAGGCTTCTCTGAAGGAGGTCAGGTCAAAATTACAACTAGGAACTGGCCAGGAGAAGGGAGGGGATAGGCGTGGTAACAGCACCAAGGGAGGTTACCCAGATGAGGTAAAACACCTTTGGTTTGAGGAATGCAAAGGCTTGTGGATCCTCTAAACACAAGGTGATTGGTGAGGGCAGGGAGGAAATTCAGTCTTTCTCCCTCCCTGGAAGTAAAGGGCATTTCCTCCCAGAAGGTCTACATCAGCTCAACACACTGGCTTGAGAAAATTAAGTGCAGAAATATGGGCTGCGGAAGTCAGAACGGTATTGGCAACCGAGTCTGGGTGGGAATTTCAGGCTCTGAGATCTCGGAGGCAGGGAGAGAAATTAATGTGGGCCAAAAGCAGTTATCCTTGTCACCAAGGGGTGTCCCCTTCCACATCCTGACCCTTCACAAGCAGATCAGGCCCAGGTATTTTCTAGGGGTTGTGGCCCCTAAACTTGGTCTCCCGAGGCCCCTTACCAAGGAAGATAAGAGTTGGTAACTGCTATCTCCCCAAGCCAACTGATGCAAATATACCTTCAAAAAGCTCCTTCCCGACCCCCCAACCCCCGAAGCTTCCTGGATACCTGGATTCTGATAGGACAGCCCCATTCCATTAGGCACAGGAATAAAACTGTTTTTCTCTCTCCCGGTATTAACCATGGCGCACAAATAACAACATCTTTTCCCTCACAAAATCTGAAGCTAGATTTGGCATTTAAAGGTTCTGCAAATTTAGAGATGATTCCCATGCAGGGCTGAATCACACATTGGTGCTTTTGACATTTCAGAACAGAGAGACAGGCTCTCCACCCAAAGAATTCTTGAGGCTACTTATTCTCTACCCTCTGTATTGTGATGCCCAAACAATTCTTATATACCACCGGCAGGAGGCTGGGATTCTCTCAAGGATCTTCTCCATTTTGGTATATTCCTGGAAAGTGCTTTCACCAAATTTCTGCTATCCGTTATCAGCCGACTTTGTGTATAACAGGGTGAAATTGGAATGTGCCCTCTGGGCATTTTAGCTCCCAGGCAATCACCTGTGGGAGACTGAGATGAGTAATAAAGATCAATAGCTCAGACACTGGGCCAGCAATGGAGCTCTAGTACTTAAGCAGAAAATCGAAAACAAAGTTCACTGTCAATTTTATTTTGAGCATGGTGATCCAGGGCTGGGCTTGGCAAAAACTGGTTGACACCCTCAGGTGAGGGGTTTGGAGGGATCTGCCCCACTTAGTGTCAATCTCAGCGTTAGAAAGAGCTGACTGACGGGCTTCACGTGGGCTCCAAGAGACAGGAAAGGCCCAGAAGTCCAAGCAGGCGGGAGGAACCACTGTCTTCAAAATGGCGCACAAATAACAACATCTTTTCCCTCACAAAATCTGAAGCTAGATTTGGCATTTAAAGGTTCTGCAAATTTAGAGATGATTCCCATGCAGGGCTGAATCACACATTGGTGCTTTTGACATTTCAGAACAGAGAGACAGGCTCTCCACCCAAAGAATTCTTGAGGCTACTTATTCTCTACCCTCTGTATTGTGATGCCCAAACAATTCTTATATACCACCGGCAGGAGGCTGGGATTCTCTCAATGATCTTCTCCATTTTGGTATATTCCTGGAAAGTGCTTTCACCAAATTTCTGCTATCCGTTATCAGCCGACTTTGTGTATAACAGGGTGAAATTGGAATGTGCCCTCTGGGCATTTTAGCTCCCAGGCAATCACCTGTGGGAGACTGAGATGAGTAATAAAGATCAATAGCTCAGACACTGGGCCAGCAATGGAGCTCTAGTACTTAAGCAGAAAATCGAAAACAAAGTTCACTGTCAATTTTATTTTGAGCATGGTGATCCAGGGCTGGGCTTGGCAAAAACTGGTTGACACCCTCAGGTGAGGGGTTTGGAGGGATCTGCCCCACTTAGTGTCAATCTCAGCGTTAGAAAGAGCTGACTGACGGGCTTCACGTGGGCTCCAAGAGACAGGAAAGGCCCAGAAGTCCAAGCAGGCGGGAGGAACCACTGTCTTCAAAAGACCTAAAAATGTGACGTATGAGAAGGACACTCTTCCCAGTGAGGCCAGGGACACTCCACTGTCCACCAGTGTGCACAGCCTGCTGGACGAGAGGATGCGCCGTGGTGTCAGAGGAATGCCACAGCACACATCTGCACCAAGTCCTTCCTGCCCAGGATGACTCCCAGGGCCCAGGCATGAATTTGGGGGGTGTTTCTACCTGGTCCTGGTGACCTGCTCTCTTCATGGTCTCATCTGCTGCACAGGCCATAGCAGTAGCCTGAGCTCACCCGCGGAGGTGTCTGCGGCCACCTCCCCTTCACAGAATTCCAACCAAATCCCAGAGCATCTGCCTCAGCGACTCTGCAGAATAACAGTGCTTCTGGCCTGGGCCAAAGGGGCAGCCCTGTCTTTCAGTGTCCCTGAGCATGTCAGCCTGCCTCTCCAGGTGCCTTGGCCATGACACTGGGTACACCCCTTCACTGGTATTGAAAAATTCAAAGTGTTCTGCTCAATGCCACTATTTTCAGAGAACACAAGCCAAATGGTGTAGAAGAAAAAAATAAACTCAGATGCTTTTCTGGTTTAAGAGGCCCGAGGAATGCTGGAGGTGATCGTTCCTTGATGCCAGAGGAAAAGCCCGGCTCCACTGGTCTTCAGAAGCACCAGGTTCTCTGAGGAGAGGTCCTGGGACCTTTCCTAATGCCACGGCTCTCCCAGCCCAGCCTTGAGCAGACAAGGTCCCATCTGGGACCCAGTGCCTCTCCTTCCCCTCAGTGGTCAGATCCCCTTACCCTGAAATGTTCTGCCCTTGATGCCTTTTTAAAGCTTAAAGCTCTCTGTGGGCCCTCTCTGCCCCTTCCTGGGTTCACTTCAGATCCAGGGACATCTGGACCTGAACAGGGATTGTCCCTTTCTTCCTCACCACTGAGGACCTGCCTCACACTTGGCAGGAATGTCCTGTGTCCCAGGCTGGCAGGGGGCACTGGGGCAGGGTTGACATGTTCACAAGGATGTCTCTGGCCCAGCTGACCCCTCCCCTTTACCCCCAATCCTTGATTTTTTTCAGACATTTACTGAGTGCCCACAGTACAGTAGTTGCTCTTCTGGGTGACGAGTAGGGACACTCAGTGAAAATACCTTGTCTTCCTCTCAGGGTATCACTGAGGCATAGACCTTGCATTCTACTGAGGAGACAAATGAAAACAAGCTGAAAAATAAACTAATCACAGGCTAACCTTGCTTAGCATAGGAAAGTAGGGCCACAAGATGTCTGTGCCAGCTGAAACTGCGCAAAACAATCTTAATCCAAAGGCAAAATAATGATTTTCCGGTAGCCATCAAATTTTTTTTGTCAAAACATTAAGAACTCTCACATGGATGGAGCTAGAGGGTATTATGCTCAGTGAAATAAGCCAGGTGGAGAAAGACAAGTACCAAGTGATTTCACTCATCTGTGGAGTATAAGAACAAAGCAAAAACTGAAGGAACAAAACAGCAGCAGAATCACAGAACCCAAGAATGGATTAACAGTTGCCAAACAAAAAGGGACTGGGGAGGGTAGGTGGGAAGGGAGGGATAAGGGGCATTACGATTAGCACACATAATGTAGGGGGGCACAAGGAAGGCAGAATAGCACTGAGAAGACAAGTCGTGACTCTTAGCATCTTACTAGGCTGATGGACAGTGACTGTAATGGGGTATGTGGCGGGGACTTGATAATGGGAATCTAGTAACCACAATGTTGCTCATGTGATTGTATACTAATGATACCAAAAAAAAAAATTAAGAACTCTCTTACTATCAAAACTAACTCAGTATACTGTGATTTTAAACTCTGAGAATAAGAATGTTGGGCTTCTTTATAAAAAACCTTACCAAGAGTAGTTTGAACACTGTTTGCCCTTCTTCCTGTCATATGACTTTTGATACAGAGTGAGTGAGCATCTTTTCTGTGCCTTGGTGAAATGTCACACTGTTTTTAAGCCAGGACAGGCTTCCCTAATTCTGTCCATTGTGCTCTTGTTGTCAAGACTGATCTTCAAGAGTGTTCCTTTAGCAGAAAGGTTTCTGCCAGCACTGCTTCCTCTGGGACATCTTCATCCTTCTTATCAAAACCATATTCTTCTTCTACACTTTTCTGGGAGATGGAGGCTGTGAGCTGGAAGATGGATTCTGAATCATGACGATGAGTAAAAATAACTCATCACGTTTTGGCAGAAGGTAAGAAACGGCCAAAGTGTTTGCTTTCCTAATCTCATTAGTTTATCAACATACGACGCAATGTTCATAGGCAGCTTAGAATGACTTGTCCTTTCCACGTGATGCTCAAAAGGGTGAGTCACCTGCACCAGCATTGCAGATCAGTAGGAGGGTCACATGGGGATCAGACCCAGAGGTGCTGGTCCAGGGCTCCCTAAGGACATCGCCTGTGCCAGCCTGATGGGAACGTGCCTGGAGGGGGGACACCACTGTGTGTGTGGCAGCACTAGACAAGGTCAGGGACAGGAGCAGAGACCAGGAGCCTTCCTTTAAGTGGCATCACCCACCACAGGCCAGGGACTCACAGGTCTGTGCTCAGCTGAGGTCTGTAGGCCCTGCCAGGTCTTCCAGGAGGATGTGGGGAAGGCTAGCGATGTTCCCAGGGGAAAATCTAGAAAGGCTTGCCTCACTGTCCGAGGCACCTCGGCTCAGCAGCCCTGGCTCCTGCCGCACCAGCCAGAGCAGCCCCTGGGAGCACACACCTCGCAGCCACGCATGACCTGGGCAGACCAAATACGCAAATTCGATGGGGTGTCACTCACCGGATTTGAGGAGATGTACATGGAGGCCTCTCTCACATGCAAGGCAGGGGATAACAAGGGCGAGGGGTCATAGAGACAGAGCTCTGGGGTGTCTCTGTGGTGGCCTGGGCTCACTCTGCTCATCGTCCTTGCTCGGGGCACAAGGAGGGGACCTTTTGGCACCCCAGGGCTGACCTTTCTCTCCCTGTGCCTCAAATTCCCCTGGTATCATGACCTTGACTTCTCTCTGCATGTCCTCCTCCTCTCAGGGTCCTGGGCCCAAGCCTGTCCTGACGCAGACACTCTCAGTGGGGTTCTCTGGGCCAGAAGGCCACCATCCCCTGCTCTGGAGGCAGCAGTAATACTGGGGGTTACAGCTGGGCCTCCTGGGACCGTGCTGCCTGGCACTCTCAAGGCAGAGGTCGTCCCTGGTCCTCAGGGCCCGCCTCCTCCCTCCAGCTCCAGGTCAGGCCACATGGCCTCCCTGACACCCTCGGGCTGCTGCAGGGGGCCTAGCTGGACACGACTGGTGCTCTCTTTCAAGGGGAGCCCCTGACCCCCAGCAGTCCAAGCCCCAAGAGCAGTGAGGCCAAACCTCCCTCAGCTCACCCACCCTGTCCCTGCTCGACACCAAACACAAGTCGAGTCTCTGGAATCTAACACCTGCTCTGCTTTTTACTCTGAGCTGAGGTTCTAATGTAACTGTGACTTTGGGAAGAGCGTCCCCTACACACAACGGTTACTTCTTGTTAAAAGGCATCAGGATAAATGTTCTCTTGGGGATACGACTTGAAAAATGAAGGCTGCTCCTGGGTCTTCGACCCTCCTGTGAGGGACGTCAGAGGCAGCTCCTCCATGACGAGGAGGGCTGGGTGGACAGGGCTTCTCGGGACCCCCGAGAGGGTTCGCGGGACCAGCTTACCTAAAGATGTCTTCTGTCCACTCTGGTCCGGCTCAGACTGGCCTGGGTCCTCTGTTACTTGGTTTCCCTGGTCTCGTAACGTCTCAGTCACCCGTGTCCACTGAAGTCTGAGAGGAAGAACCAGAACGCTCCGAAAACAAGGAGACTGTGTGTCAACACGCCTATTTACGAAGCCGCGGGCTCCCGTGAGTACCTCTTGAGAATCCTGCGGAGGAAATGAAGCTGGAGCCTCGATCCTGCTCTTTCAGGGGGAATCCCTGCCTCTCTCCAAACCTGACCACCAGGTTCTCATCAGCTGAACCAGGGGACAATTTGAGTGACAGACCTCGTGCTCTTGGTCAAAAACGACCCATCCCTCGAGAACACGCACCACTGTCCGGCAGCCATGTTTCTGCCCACCCCGTGCCCTCCTCGCCCAGGCGCCTCCACGCGGGCCACCCCGATTCAAGTGCACGAACCCCCAGCTAGTGAGATCTAACAGTAAGGACAGACGCCCAAGTTCGAACTATTACGTCAGAACCTCGTGACTAGTCCGAAGTCACCTTGCGAGAAAGCAAAGGAACCAGGGTTTGAACTTACGTTTTCCACGGCCCGTTTTTCTCGCCTGGAGGGAGAGAACTGGCGGCTCCAATTCCGCAAGCCAACCAGAACCAGCCAGAACCAGCCAAAACCAGCTAGAGCCAGTCGTTAACTGCCCGAGCCAGCCAGAAACAGCCGGATCTGACCAATCGGCTTTGTTTCCTTCCAAATCTCACGAGATCTTGTGATCTCGAGGGGAGTTGCCCAGCGAGTCCAGAGGGGAGCTGTTTTAACTGGCTGGGAGGCAGTGGGGGGAAGGGGGACAAGGGAAGGCGTGGTGTCTGTGGCCCCGCCCACCGGACTGCAGCCATTGGGCTAAGAATGGGGCTGGGGCGGCCACAGGGGCCTGGGATGGGGATGTGGTGGTACAGGTGCTATAGGGATAATAGGGGGGCTCTGTTGCAGAAGTGGAGCAAGGCCTGGAACTCCGCACCCCCAGCGCACCCCACCCCCGACCCCCAAGGCCGGTTCTGAGGGGGCTGCCAGTGACGCCTTTCCCCCTGTTGGGGCACCTGAGTGAGGCTTCTCGCCCCACTCCCACCTCCCTCGATGGGAAAAGTGCTCCCTTGGCCAGTCCACCGCCCCCTACTCTCTAGACTTTACCGTTGATGTAACCCCTGGAGCAGAGGAGACCCCCGTCGGGGATCGCTTAGATTGTGCCTCTCCCCAGCGCGCGCATCCCCGATCTTCCCCTTGGATTTGGTTTCCCAGAGCTTTTGCAGAATCCAGATTCCTGCATTCGCTCTGCTCAGCTCCCCCAGCCCTTCAGCTGACTTCAGCTCCCTCACTCGTCCTAAAGGCAGGCTATGCCTTCTCTTTACCCACAAATACCTTTTGATAAAGTCACAGGTGCACCAGAAAACTGAAGATGTGGGCAGGACCGTTTGGAGCACGGAGCAGGTGAAGGATACTGAGGAGAGGTGGAGGCACCACCCCAGGGCTGCTGCTGATCTGAACCCCGGGGGTTTTGTGTCTGGGACCACCAAGGAGCACTGGAGACCTGGAATCCCTCATGTTTGCAAGGCCTGTGTCAGGTTTTGGTGCCAGTTTCCTGCCAGCAACTTTAGGGGTGAAAAGTTAGGCTTCTGGAGAGTTGGCAAGACCCAGATGGGTGACGATCTTTTCCTGGTAAAGAGAGAGGGGTCGTTTAGAGCAAAACAGAGCCCCCCACCAGGGCTGAGAAGGACTCAGCCTCCTCATACTGGGAGGTAGGTTGTCTGCAACGGAGGGAAACGAGTGGGTCTAGCGTTGGGACCTTGTCATGCAGGTGACCCTAAATCTTCTACCACAGGCCATGGGAAGTTCACAGTGGCTGAGAGTGACAGGCGGGGTGGCAAGGCTCGCTATTTTATGTGGATCTTTCCTGCCATTCCCCCAGGTACCCCCATTCCTG